TATATTGATTGTGTTCCTTAGCTCCTGTTATCCGCTGATGCACAGAGATAGATCTGTTTTGTCTTCTGTAGTTTGTACTACTTTCGGACAGATCAGAATATAATACACGTAAACGTTCATTAATTTGATGAAATCTAGAGCTTATGCATCTGAATTAAAAAAGAATTAATCACATCTTTTATTAACATTATAATATATGCGTTATGTACAAGCATATTAACGCTAATTGCGTTAATAAATAATTAGAAGTCGGACTAGATTAGAATTTTATTATTTACTTGTTATGTTTCAATATAATATTTTATACATATATGAGGAGTATATAGAGTTTCTAAATGAGTTTTGGTCCAAAATTTATAATTCAGTCATTTTAAACTAAAATTCGTTTACAGATAACGAAAAAGAAACCCACCAAAAAACTACGCGTTTTACAGAAAATAACAATTTTTCAATCAGTAAGCTAAGAAATATTAACGAAATTGGTAAACAATTGGTAAAAACATTAAACAAATGCATTTTGTTAAGGGAGTTTTTACGTTTTTGGGTTAAAAAATATCAATTATTTTTACTATTTTTGAAAGCTTATAGCCTCAAGAATAACCCACAAAAATGTTTTTTGGAAGAAACAAAAATTATTGAAGATATACAAGATAAAATGATATTATGTGTGGGACCTCATGATCGATTCTAATAGGACGCACCAATTAATTGCTATAACCGACGCTCGCCATTATTTATATTCAACCTTTCAAAACCATTCTTGAATGTTACTCTTTAATAGAACAAAGTTTCTTTTCTGAGCATCACTTTCGTTTCTAACAGAAAACGGAAAGGTACTTGTACTAAAATATTTCAAACTGTATACACGTTTTTCACAAAACTGTGTTTTTGAATATGGTGATCACGATTCCAAAAAAACCATTAGTCCGACTGACTTCTACTTTTACGATTATACTCAGAGAACATGTCATTATCACCGAAATTAGAATTAATAGTCTACATTAATTTTTTCTATTTTTTTGAAGGTCAAATAAAAAGAAAAAAATTAGAAAAATTCAAATTATTTTTTCAAACTGTTGTTATTTTGAAAATGAGCATATGACATTAATTATCTTAGTCCGAGCGAGAATTACAAGTCCACTCATTAAGAAAAAGTTTATTTTTTGATCAATGATACAATTCTTTGATCACCGTTTGATCGTGTTAGCGGTACAGGCCCAATTTCAGCGCCATCTTATTAGTATTCTGTAAAAAGTTAACATTACAAAAAATATTTTTTTACACGTATGTTGTACGCACTTTCTAGACCTGTATTAGTTTTTAAGTATACTTAAATTTTTATTTATTAACAAAATTCTCAAAGAATGCCTTCAAAATCGGCTCTCAATTTAACGTAAATACCTCCTTAAAAAATTTTTTGTTACAGCATCTTTGGTTAAAGGACCATGCCATTTTTTTTCTCTGGAAGCCTTTTTCCAGATATCCAGAAGGATAGTCGGAAAATCCGATCGGATAATTGGATATCCAAAAAGAATTTGACGAGTATTAGATATCCGGTACCCTTTAATTTACTATCCTTCTTATGTTATAATTTTAGCGTTGTTTTTGCTGTTATTTTTTTATGATGACATATGTCAAGATTAAGTTCATTGAAGATAAAAATGATGTATGTTTAATCAATTACATTACTCAACATTATTTCCTTCACAACATTTTTTAAAGATGCCCATCTCTTATAAATATTTAATAATAAAATGTAGTAATTAATTATTTATTTTAAATAATTATTGTTTAGTAATATTTTTAATACTCAAAATATAAGTATATACATGTTGTGTACAGACAATACAGATAACATACATATGTTGTCAAGGTTACAGTCACTGATAGTGGTGGGCTCTCTTTTTTATATGTTACGACAGGTTTTTAAGTGTTTCACACTGTAAACATTTTGATGCACAATGTCAATTAAAATAGATTATAAAATAAATGTATACACATGTGTAATACTAACCCAAGAATAGCTGCAGGAATCAGAACACTTAAGATAATGACGTTTTCCGAGTAAAGCATCGGATATATATCTAACATTATACTCCAAAATGTTACGTCGAAATGCAAAATAAAAATAATAACAAAATTGGAATATGCAAATCGAAGAAAGACAGTGAGTCTGTTTTGATCCGCACTACTGAGCTTATATAGTGGCCGGCGTGCGATGTCTGTCTTGCACATCTGCGTTCTTTCTTTCGGGATATATTCAGAAAGTTCTTTATTCACTTTGGACACACTCGTTTGTATTGTTTTTTTACACATGATTTCTGGTGAGTTTTGATTATTATTTTTTATTATTATTTTTATT